AATAAAATTTATTAGAATGAGATAGTTTTGTGATATTTTTTACTTAATTTTTTATAAATATGACTGATAAATATTTTTTTAATTTATTTTAATTCATATTTTATACATTTTTAGATAATAAAGAAATGTTTAAAAAATAAAAGCAAAAATATTGCATTCACAAACTCCGACATAAGCTGCCAAACTAACCCATTTTCCCACATAAACCCCTAAACTATTTTTTATCCTTATATGCCCCTTAACTTTCGGATTTAAGCAAATTAACTCTTTATTAACGATTTCCATACTTCCCATTTAAGAATCTGGTCACGGCAATCAAAGGAAATAGTTAAATCATGGTTTAGTCCATTTATTTTTCAGATTTCAAAGAAAATTAGTCCCTACACTTAGACTAATATTACTAAAAAATTAAAAAAAAAAAATAATCCTGTTAGCACCCATTCCAAAAACCCGCCACGGTTTTCGTCTTTCTAGAAATCAATTCAGCATCATACTTCAAATTTCTCCCTAAGCCATCACAAAATTAAAATAAAAAACTAAAAGCATGTATGACGCATGTTCTATTTAGTGTTTATTTTTTAAAATAAAAATAAAAATAAAATTTTTACTCACTGATATTATGTTGTAGCAGAACTTTATTTTCTTTACAGAATATGTTTTATTTTATTTTATTTTTTAAAATAAAAAATTACTTTAAAAAAAATAGAAGGCCTGCAGCGCCTATCGCAATGTCAGGCGCCGCAGGCAAAGTTTCTATCCAATGGCATTTTGTCGTTGGATCCAATTTTTGTCTTCTTCTTCCTTTTTGTTTTTTATTTTTTTAATTTTTCATTTAAATATGTTTTATTTGAATATTAAAATATATGTTAAATAAAACAATATTAGTGTAAATTTTTAAAAAACTCTACGTATAAGAGGAGAAGTGTTTGATTAGGTGTATTATTTATGAGTTAAATATATAAAAATGTGAGTTTATATAAACTAATATATAAACTCACATTTTTATATGCTTAAATAAATAAAATAATGTTAGTGTAAATTTTGAGAAAACTCTACATAATAGAGGACAAGTGTTTTATTAGATACATCATTTATAAAATTGATTAATTTTGGAGTTATGATATATTTTGTTTCTGTTAAAAAAAAATTAATTATAATGATATGACATTAAAATAATTTTTTTAATTATTCTTCATATAATTGTTCTCCATTATACATGCTCTCGAAAAGGCAAAAAGGTCAAGATATATATTTTCAATATTGTTGTCTTTTCTAATACTAAGGACTGACGAGGTAGGGTTCGGTATTGATTCAATCTTGAGAGGAAGAATTTGTAAAGTTGAAATAAAATCTATTCACTAATTAGATAAGAATAAATTTTTAGATCTACCTTAAATCAATTCAAAGTTCTAGAAGATTTCATAATTAGGAAATTTTTTTTTTAAAAATTAGTTGAGCTTAGTTTCCTGCCTCCATATATATATATATATATAGACAATGTGCTTATGAAACCTAACTGTAATTTTCAATTATTTTGTTAATTTATTTAATAATTAAATTAAAAATTCCATTTATTTTAAAATTTATTAATATTTTAATTAGGAAAAAGTAATCCCATTGGTTGTATTTCAAGAACTGTTATTAATTATATGCTGTGACCTTTAAAGTAATCCCATTGGTGGTACTCACGTAAAAAATTAAATTATGTGACATATAATGAGTTATGTTATATAGTATCGTAAAAAAAATTATTTTTTAAAAATAAAAAACAAGAATAGCTACTGAAAATCAAATCCCAGTAGTTAAGGTATCCTCATAACTATTAGATGTACAAAAACAAGAACATCAAGAACATCAAGAACATCAAAGTTCGTTCTTAATTGCTAATTTGTTCTTAATTAATAATTTGTTCATAATTAATAAAAATTAATTCTGATCCAATTTCTTCTTGTATTTGGTCAGACATATTTTGAATTTACCTTTTAAACTTTAATATTAAATAAGACTATATTTTTTTATATAATACCTTCCTAAATATTGAATAGAGCTGTATTTTTTGTATAATACTTTTATAAATATTGAATAGGTACTAGATATTAATATATATATTGGATTTGTCTTTTGAACTCTAATTCTTCATGTCTCTTCTTTTAATGAAAGTTACTACCATTATAAATTCTAAATATTGTATTCTAAATATTGTATAAATATTATATATTTGACATGTATTTTAGTTTCACCTATATAATCACTAATATTTTCCTTTTTTTTTCTTGAGATTGGAAAAAAAATTGAATTATGAAATGGAAATTAACGTTTAATAAGTTTTCTAACTAAATAGTTAATTAGTAATAAAGTTTTTTAACTAGATAATTAATTACCATTAGATTTTGTTTAAAAAATAGAGAAAAATATAGAAAAATTTTAATTTTAATTTTAATTTTTTAAAAATTTGGTCTACTCGACCTAATTTAAGATCCCTATGGGTGGGTCATTAATCAACCTCCCTAAGTCGACACCCAAAATGATCCAATTCGAACAATCCAACATTCAAAATGACCCAATCCAAACCCATTTAATTCGACTTGTTTGCCAGGTCTACTCAAGACAAGGCTCGCGTATGAATCTACCTAACAAATTATATATCCTTTGTTTAATGAAGTACTTTTTTGGGGGTAAATTTGTGTACTAAACACAAATAATGATGCATTATGCATGGATGGATCATGGATGGCATATAGCTATATATATATTGCCTCTCCTTGGCCTTCACATGCAGCATGTGGAAGAATGCACCATAGGAAACATTTAATTAATCAATTCTCAAACCACACCCCTCTCCCCCCACCCCCAATCCCTTTCTTAATTTTCAATCATTATGAAATTATTGAGTTTCACATTCAAACGGTGAAAACACAAATAACGAATTGATTTCACACAAACTTTGTTGAATATTGACCTTTTCTTCTGGGTTGAAATTTTGTGGCCCTGTTTTTTTCAATGTTTTCGCCCCAAGCCATGTGCAGCAGATTTCATGGTAGTTTGTTTATGAAGAAAGTGGGATTAAAAGTAAAACTATTGACTTAATGGATAAATGAAAAAAAAAAAAAAGGTACGGCGATCAGGCAAAATTGAATAAAGTTAAAGTAGCTTTTTCTTGAATCGGGCTTTTAGGACCAATGGTTCGACCCCAAGCCTTAAGTACTTGGGTGAGGTGATCGGAGTTTCGACCTCCACCACCGTTGTTAACTCCACCAAAAAACGACATGATGGCCGCGGGCCTCGGGGTCGAATGTTCACTCAGTTTGAGTACCAGTTGCTAACAACTAATTTATATTAACTAACTAACTTATATTAACTTCATAACCATTACCTTGTCAGAAAAAAAAAGTAACTTTTTCTTTTTGGCCGACAAGTTTAAAGTAGCTTGTTTTGGCAGCATTAATATTTTTTTCAGTGCAAAATTAAATAAAGTCAGTATTAATGATTTTATCAGCCAACATTTCACAAATGGAAAAGAAAGAACATTATTTTATCTATTATTAATTACTACTACTTATTAAATTTTATTATCATTAAAGTTTAAAAATTAAAAAAATTAAAATTTTAATAGTGTTTAATAACTATTTTGTTTATCAATTTAATCTTTTCTTTTTTGAATTTAATTTTAAATTGTGATTTTATTTAAAAATTTCAATATTTTTAAAAAATTAAAATAATGATTATTTATTTACTTTTTATTATTAGCTAAAAATTGAAAACTAAATCAATTCAAAATAAAATTATTGCTTAATTAATAAGATAACCAAATTAAAAAATCTTATTTAAATTTAATTTGAATCTTATAAAGCAAAAAAATCTTTTAGATTAGGTCATTTATTTAAATTTTAAAATAAAAAATAAAAAAAATCAAAAAATAGATTGAAAAATGACATCTACTATGCATCAATATTATCGTCTATATTCATTTATTTTTGTTTTGATGGAATATATTCAATTATTAGCATACCTCAATTTGAAACACTATATATACTCTTCTAGAGTACTCTACCATGCCAAACAGAGATAGGGAATTTTCACAATGCTCTCCACACCACTTTGCCTCCCATTTTTCTTCCTCTGTCTTACAATTGTCTTTTCATCCTCTTTACATGCTTCTTCCTTCTTAACAACACAACTCTGCTCTTATGAGGAGGCTGCTGCTTTGTTGCAATTCAAGACTTCTTTTTCCATCAATTACACTGCTTTTCCGCCAGGTTATTCTAAGACTGAGTCTTGGAAGGAAGGTATAGACTGCTGCTCCTGGGATGGGGTTAGTTGTGATAATGTCACAGGTCATGTAATTGCCCTTGATCTCAGCTACGATTGCCTTTCTGGCACCTTTCCTTCGAACAACACTCTTTTTCTCCTCAAAAACCTAAAGAGCCTCAATCTCTCCTTTAATGATTTTAGGCTTTCCAAGATTCCACCAAAAATCAGTCAGCTTACTAAACTAAAGCATCTTGATATCTCTTATTCTCGATTTTCAGGCCAAGTTCCAGCAGAAATTGCTCACCTCCCCAAGTTAGTTTCTCTCAATCTCTCTAATTATTACGATTCTTCTGACTTGATCCTTGAAACAACTACCTTCAAAAATCTTGTTCATAACTTGAGTGAGGTGAGAGAACTTGTGCTTAATCGAGTGAACATGACTTCTGTTAATCCTCATTTCTTCATGAATCTCTCTTCTTCTTTGACTACTCTTCATCTTTTTTATTGTCAGTTAAGAGGAAACTTTCCAAACAGTATTTTCCACTTTTCAAATCTCAAGAGATTTAGTTTAGGTTGGATGGGAAACCTCGCTATTGATCTTCCAAGTTCCAATTGGAGCAGTCCTCTCCAACAGTTGTATTTAAATGATATGGATTGTAGAAGACAATTGCCAGAGTCTATAGGAGATCTAAAGTCATTACAGTCTCTGAGTCTTACCTGCAACTTGGAAGGTTCCATTCCAGTTTCCATTGGGAGCTTATCTCAACTTACTTACCTATTCCTCTATTTTAACAATATTAGTGGACAAATCCCATCATCACTTGCAAACCTCACCCAACTTACCTCTCTTTACCTTTCATGTAATCATCTTTCTGGTCCCATTCCAACTTCCATAGGTCACTTAAGGCAGCTTACTATCCTACACCTCTATTCTAACAATCTTAGCGGACAAATCCCATCATCATTTGCAAACCTCACCCAACTTACCTTTCTTTCCCTTTTAAATAATCAGTTTTCTGGTCCCATTCCAGCTTTAATAGGTAACTTAAGGCAACTTACTACCCTACACCTATATTCTAACAATCTTAGCGGACAAATTCCATCATCATTTGCAAACCTCACACAACTTACCTCTCTTTATCTTTCCAATAATCAGTTTTCCGGCATGTTGCCACCTTGGATTTTCACCCTACCTTCGTTAGTGGCCTTGTATCTCAATCATAACCAATTTCAAGGTCAAATAAATCAATTCCAGCAAAACTCACTCAGAGGTCTAGATTTGTCAAACAATAAACTCCAGGGCTCAATTCCTAACTCAATTGCTAATTTAATAAATCTTAATTATCTGGATTTATCATCAAATCATTTTAGTGATTTAGTAGAAGCTGACATGTTCTCGACGCTTCAAAATCTGGAAACCATCTTTCTTTCAGACAATAATCTGTCCTTGAGAATGAATGTCAATGCCAACTTCACATTACCCAAATTAACTCATGTTTCCTTTTCATCTTGTAACTTGAGTGAATTCCCCAATTTCATAAGACAATCAAATGGTCTGCAAAGCCTAGTGCTATCCAAAAATAGCATTCATGGAAATATTCCCAAATGGATATGTGAAAAGGATGATCTCAAAATTCTTGACCTTTCCCATAACAATTTGATCGGGGAGATTCCAAATTGTCTTCCTAAGTCTCTCTTAGTGTTGAATTTGCAGGCCAATTACTTTGATGGAAATATACCATTTGGGTTTCTAGAGGGCTGTGAATTACGAAATCTCAACTTACATGGAAATCAAATAGATGGGCTATTACCAAGGTCTTTGGTGAATTGTAGCATGTTAGAGGTTCTAGACGTTGGCAACAACAGCATAGAGGATACATTTCCTCATTGGTTGGAATCTTTACCAGAGCTTCAAGTGCTTGTCTTAAGGTCCAACAAGTTCCATGGTTTTGTGCAGAGCACCAAAGAAAGTCCATCTTTTCCCAAGTTACGAGTTCTAGACCTCTCCAGCAATGATTTTCATGGCCCTTTGCTTTTTCGGTACATTGAAAATTTTAAAGCGATGATGGACCCTCATACAGAGGATGGTTCCCCTAAATACATGAAGGCGCCAACGAATTCTTATCAATATTCACTGGTTGTGACATGGAAGGGATTTGAGCGTGAGCTGCAAGGAATCTTGACCGTATTTAGTAGTATTCATCTCTCAAATAACATGTTTGAGGGACAAATTCCAGATGTTATGGGAGAGCTTAGTTCTCTCAAGGGGCTTAATCTTTCTTATAACAACCTTACTGGTCATATCCCACTGTCACTGGGGAATTTGACGAATCTGGAATGGTTGGATCTCTCTTCCAACAAGCTGGCGGGGAAAATTCCCAATGAATTGGTATCTTTGACACAACTCTCTGTATTGAATCTTTCAAATAATCATCTCGTCGGGCGCATACCACTCGGCAATCAGTTCAACACCTTTGGAAATGGTTCTTATGAAGGAAACCTTGGACTGTGTGGAATCCCATTGTCAAAATCTTGTGATGGAATTGGGACACCGCCGAGCTCCTTTCAAGAAAAAGATGAGTTGTGGAGATTTGGCTGGAGAGTTGTGGTGTTAGGCTATGGATGTGGAGTTGTTTTTGGACTGCTGATGGGATATCTTGTCTTTCGAACAGGGAAACCAAAATGGTTTGTGTCTTTGTTTGATGGCCGACCAAGTCAAAGTGGAAGGAAGATGAGGAAAGCCAGAAGACTTGTTCAAAGAAGAAGGTAGTTGCAGAGTTGATGTTTTAGAGCTTCTGATTTAATGTTTCCTTAATAAGTGCTTTTCGGGTTTGAAATTCTTGTTATGGCTGGCATTGGCTTGTATAAAATTGTCAGCCTTCTCTTGTCTTTATTATGCTTTGTAATTTTGTCTTTCTTTATTGTAAAATATATTGAGAAAGTGTTTTATAATCTGGGTGGGTACGATAGCAGACTTAAAATATATTTGAAGGTTTAAGCTGTTAATCTTTCTTAGTTGTATATGCATGTCCAATTAATCTACTTCCTTTAAGCCGGTTGGTATGGTAGCAAATTGGTAGCGAAGATATGCTGAGTTTTCATTCTTTACAGTTTTGTTCTAGAGATTCCCATTAGCAGACTCATAAAAATTCTTGCTTTACATTGATGGGCTGAAGGGGGAAATGCGGAAGTTTGAATTTTGAGATGGGATTTTGATGGAATCATTTCATAAGGGTAAGTCTTATAATTTGGGCTTCACAACATCTTCCTTCACAACAGAAAGAATCTAATGGAAGTAGCTTCCATTTCCACAGATGAAGGGACATTATTATCAGCATCACAGAATCACCTCAATTTCACCTCTTTAGGGTTCCTCTTCTATTATGAATCCCAACTCCTGCATTCCATCTACAGAAAATCCATCAATACGCATCCTATTCTCCATCAATACGCATCCTACACAAAATCAAACATCATCTTCGCTACTCGCTTTACCAATCCCAACTCTGATGATCATCATTGGATGTCCAATGATGTGCTTCGATTTGAGGAAAGTGTTGGGTATCCAAATTTATATTTATATGATGTTGAGGTTAGAATTAAATATTTAAATTTATATGATTTTAAATAATTAACTTTTTCGATATATAAAAAAAGTCATCGAATGTCATCACATAAACGGCATCGTAAAACAACCAGTATGTGTTTTCTCAAAAAAAAAAAAAACCAGTATTAGTGTGGACCTCCAGTAGATCTCCCCTTATCACTCAGGACAAGTCGTATCCCATTTCGATCCCTGAATTTCCTCCACGCTCTGAATTTTTCCATCATCTCCATGTGATATGGTTCCATTTGCAAGCTGAGCCGTCAATGGTGGTTAACAATGGATGCTAACGTTTAGAGTTGGTTAGAGTCTGTTATAGGAAGATTAAATTAAGATTAATTAGTTAGTTAGAATTTTTAGCTGAATTGTTCCATAACATTCCTGCGTTTATAAGGCACCGCTATGTAAAAGCAATAATTACTAATTAGTGTTTAGTGTTTAGAATTTGGATTACAAAATAATTTATCATTATGGTAATTTTTTCTTTTAAATTATAATGTTTATTCTATCACTCCAACATGTTTAATTACTCCCAATAGTATATTATATTATTTTTTAGTTACTAAATTATTTTACTTACAATTACTAATTAACAAAATGCTAAGCATCTGCAAGAGATTATGAGAATCTCGCAACAAAAAATAGAATTAAGCTAGTCTAGTTGAAAAGAAAATGAATAAATTATAAAAATTCTTATAGAGATAATTTTGATCACACTACCACTATCATGTTAAAATTTATATATGAAAATAACTAAAATATCTTAGTGGTAATATCATTCTAGTAGAAGAAACAAATCTTAAGTTTAAGTTATATAAACATACAATCATGCTGATTAGTGATTGATACATGAGATATATATTTTTTTATAACTCGTTTTCTTGGAGGGCAGAAGGCAAGGAAACTTTATTTTTCTCAAATCAAACGGGATTTTAAAGGAAATTTATGGACCTTAGTCCTATAATATGTTCTTTATTTATTTAAGCTTTTTTAGTAATTTAAAAAATTAAAAAACAAACACTTTATTTAACTAAATTATCAGTAGCATTACTTTTTAAAGCATATTTAGTTTGAAAAATAGTAGAAATTTTCTACTCATATTTTTCATTTTTCATATTTTATTGATTCCATGAAACAAACACTTTACAATAAGCTTTCCTTAATTTTACTGTTCCATTAAATTAATAAATTCCCTAAATTCGAAATATTTCAAAACATAAAATTATTTTTTGTGAGAGCAAGGTTGGAGAGTGGGTACCACATGGCCTAGAGCCCATAATCCGAGCCATAAACTAATGAAACCATAAGTTACGGATGTATAGGAAACAATATTACTAAAAAAACACGGTTGAATTACTCCATCCTAATCTATCTGGATATCTAAAACTAAAAACCGTAATTGACATACACACATTCGTACCACACTTCCATTACATATTTTTTTTTCTGTTAACTTTCACAACCTGTTAATCTCCATTTCACTTTTACCGTGTTTCCATCTTCTTCTTCTTTTTTTTTTCTTTTTTTTTTTTTCTTTTGGATTCTCCATCCGAGAACCCACCCTAAGTTCTCGAAGAAAAACCTAGGTCTGGGTTCTCGAACCCAAGTAAGGTTCTCCAGAAAAAACATAAAAAAAAAAAACGAAGAAGTTGGGAACCTGGGGGAGGCTGGCAATTGTCATGATTAGGATAAGGATGGTGGTGAGGAGGAAGATGGATCTAGTGAGGACAGAAAGGGTTGGGTGAGTTGAAAGATGACTAAAGAGATGGTAATAGAATTAAGTGTAATTAACGGTAAAATAACAGAAATTGAAGTGTGTAACTGAGTGTGAGGTGCAGAGTGTACATGCATCATTATCTAAAACAAAATCATCAACCAAACAAAACCATATGAAACAAATGAGCTAAAGAATGAAAGTAGCACCGACTCTTTGACTGCAGCATCGCCTCTTCCACGAACAGCATCAATTATCGGATTCACCATTCCGAATGTAGAAGAGAAATCTATCCTGGGACGAGCCTGGAGGCTTTCTACCTCGGCACGACTAAGTTCTGATAACTTATAAGACTTCATTGCACACCTTATTCTGTTGAAACTCAATCCTTAAACAGCATTCAATGCAATTACAGTATTAGGATATATTTCGAAATGCAAGACAGATTCAGAATTCAAAGGCCAGTACCTTTGGCAAAGGAAAGAGATCGAGGATAATTAAAATTGTGAACGCCGGCGAAGCGAAAAGGTGGGGTCTGCAAGGGTTTAATAGAAAGGTTGGTCTGGTTAAAGCTCAGAAGCTGAGTATCCATCACGACCTTCCAAAGTCAAATCAATTCATCAATGTGAAATTATGTTATCATCGGCGATTACTAGAGGCAGAATGTCAACGATGGGAGGAGGACATGAATGTCGTTACCTTGGTGGTGGTGGTAGACGGCGGCCGACGGCTAGGGCAAATCGAGTCGCTGCCGCTGTTGTATTCCTGTTGTGGCTGCTGCCTGCCTGCCTGCCGCTTCTCTAGCCCACTTACTGAAGTATTTTATTTTTATTATTATTCTTTTAATAACTTGTTGCCAGTTGTTAGACCCCAAAGTTTAATTTATTAGCATTTTAACCCCTTATGATTATTCTATGAATACGATTAGAAGGACTTCTTTCTTTTTTTTCCTTCTAGTTCAGGCCAAATAACAAAACCACTGTGTACCTTGAAAAAAATATAAACGCTTCAGGACTTTTCATGGCTCACTTTCTTCCTTTCCTTTCTATGATAATAAATCGAGATAAACAAGGACAGAGTAAGGGCACTCAATCATTGAAACAAATGTATGTATTCATTGTCTATTAGTTACAAAT